TGCTCCTATTTTTTATTTTTTAAATGTTTATTTATTTCTCAGAGGTGTATATATAGAGAGAGACAGAGCATGAGCAGGGGAGATGCAGAGGGAGGGAGACATAGAATCTGAAGTAGGCTCCAGGCTTGGAGCTGCCAGCACAGAGCCTGATTTGGGGCTTGATTTGTGAGCTTCCAGATCAGGACTTGAGCCGAAGTCAGACACCCAACTGACTGAGCCACCCAGTTGCCCCCCCCCCCCTTTTTTTTTTTTAAATTGTGCTTCTTCTCTTTTCTTCTCGGCTCCATGCCCAAGGTGGGGCTAGAACTCAGGACCCTGAGCTTAAGAGTCACATGCTCTGTGGACTGGGCTAGACAGCCCCCACTCCCCTTTTTGGAACATTTGTGCTTCTTCTAATTCTTTTTAATGTTTATTTTTATTTTTGAGAGAGAGCACAAGCAGAGCAGGGGCAGAAAGAGAGGGAGACAGAATCCAAAGCAGGCTCCGAGTTGTCAGCGCAGAACCCGACCTGGGGCTCAATCTCAGCAACCATGAGATGGTGACCTGAGCTGAAATCAAGAGTCCTGTTTAACCCGCCGAGTGGTCCCTTTCCTTCATTTTTCTTCCTCCCTCCCTCTCTCTCTCTCTCTCTGTCTTTCTTTCTTTCTTTCTTTCTTTCTTTCTTTCTTTCTTTCTTTCTTTCTTTCTAAGGAAATCAGTTATTTTATTACCTTTGGCTAATGATTCTAATATTTGGAATCATTTGCATTTGTCATCTATTGTTTCTGTCCCTTTTTTCCTTATGTGCTATGCTTCTCCTTGTTTTTGACAAATTATTTGTTTTAAGATTTTATTTTTAAGTAATCTCTACACCCAGTGTATGGCTAGAAGTGACAAACTCAAGATCAAGAGTTGCATACTCTACTGACTGAGCCAGCCAGGCACCCTGACAATTTATTTGTAGGAATAATTTAAGGCGTTAGAATGAAGATGTCTCACTTCAGGGAAGATTTCCATTTGTTCTGCAAAGTACCTGAGAGCACCATAGTCTTGTACCGCTTCTACTTAATTTGGGAAGGGGGTTAGTATATTACTGTGGTTTTAACTTGGATTTTTCTGATGACTCATGATGTTGAACACATTTTTTAGATGTGTATTGGCCATTCACATATCTTTGTGAAATATTTTTTTCAAAACCTTTATCCATTTTTTAATTGAGTTGTATATATTTTTATTAAGTTGTAGGAGATCTTTAGATTCCCTAAATGCAAGTCCTTTGTCAGATATATGTATTAGGATAGTTTTTCCCTAGCCTCTGGCTTGTTTATTAATTTGGAAAGTTAAGTCTTTTGATGAGCAGAAGGTTTTAAATTTAAAAACATTAAATTTTTTTAATGTTTTATTCATTTTTGAGAGAGAGAGATGAAGAGAGAGCATGAGCAGGGGAGGGCCAGAGGGAGAGGGAGACACAGAATCTGAAGCAGGCTCCAGGCTCTGAACTAGCTGTCAGCACAGAGACTGACACAGGGCTCGAACCCACGAACCGTGAGATCATGACCTAAGCCAAAGTCGGACACTTAACCACCTGAGCCACCCAGATGCCCTTAGACTTAACTTTTTATCTCTGTTGAATTTCCCAATTTTTCTTTAATTTTAACTAAAGCCATTGTGCCACATGTTAGTTTCTCTACCTAATTTTTTCTTCATTTCTGAACACTCGTGGTTCAAATTAATGCTCCTTACTAATGCTGTGGTGGCACAGTTTGTCTCAGGGAGAGACCTATTAACTCATTCACTTTTTCTTTAAAGGGCTCACCCGTCTTTGTACCCTCTGGGATACAGCTTCTGGAAGCTGTTGGTTCACTGGAGCAGAAGAGCTTTGGAGAGGGATTGTTTTTCTGTCTCCAACAAGCTGCCTGGAAAATTATAACTTATTTCCTAAAATATTGAACGATTTCATCAGGAAGGATAGATGTCAATTAACCCCTTAGTGACTACAGTTTGGTCCTATCTGTTGTGTATGTAGCAGAATTTTCTCCATTTTTTAAAATTTAAGCTTTAATATACAGTGCAATACTGATTTCAGAAGTAGAATGCAGTGATTCATCACTTACATACACTTACATAAAGCACTCAGGGCTCATCACAACAAGTTCCCTACTTAATACCCATCACCAATCTAGCCCACCTCCCAACTACCTCCCTCCGTCAATCCTGTTTGTTCTCTCTTGTTGAGTCCTTGTGGTCTTTTCCCCTCTCTTATTTCCCCCACTTCCCTCTCCCATATGTTCATCTGTTTTGTTTCTTAACTTCCACATATGAATGAAATCATATGATATTTGTCTTGCTTGGATTGACTTATTTCATCTAGCATAATACTTACTAGCTCTGTCCATGTCATTGCAAATGGCAAGATTTCATTCTCGTTGATGGCTGAGTAACATTCCATTGTGGGGTGTGTGTGTGTGTGTGTGTGTGTGTGTGTGTGTGTGTGTGTGTACCACATGTTTATCCATTCATCAGTCTATGGACATTAGGGCTCTCTCTATAGTTTGGCTATTGTTAATGCTGCTTTAAAGATCTTTATTTTTTTTTAAATCTTTTGGGTAAATACCTAATAGTGCAATTGTTGGATCATAGGGTAGTTTTATTTTTAGTTTTTTGAGTGACCTTCATATTGTTCCTCAGAGTGGCCGAACCAGTTTGCATTCCCACCAGCAGTGCAAGAGAGTTCCCCTTTCTCTACATCCTTGCCAACACCTGGTTTGTGTTGTTAAGCTTAGCCATTCTTACAGGTGTAAATCTTAGCCCTTCTTACAGGTGTGAAGTGGTATCTCATTGTGGTTTTGATTTTTATTTCCCTAATGTTGGGTGATGTTGAGCATCTTTTCATGTGTCTGTTAGCCATCTGGATGTCATCTTGGAAAAGTGTCTATTCGTGTCTTCCTTCCATTTCTTAACTGGGCTGTTTGTTTTTTGGTGTTGAGTTTGATAAGTTCTTTATAGATTTTGAATACTAACCCTTTATCAGATACATAATTTGCAAATATCTTCTCCCATGCTGTAGGCTGCCTTTTAGTTTTGTTGATTATTTCCTTTGCTGTGCAGAAGCTTTATGTCTTGATGAAGTCCCAATAGTTGATGTTTGCTTTTGTTTCCCTTGCTTTTGGCGATGTGTCTAGTAAGAAGTGCTCCAGCCAAGTTTTGAAGAGGTTGCTGCCTGTGTTCTCTTCTAGGATTTTGATGGTTTCCTATCTCACATTTAGGTCTTTCATTCATTTTGAATTTATTTTTGTGTATGGTGTAAGAAAGTAGTCCAGTTTCATTCTTCTTCAGGTCACCATCCAGTTTTCCCAACACCACTTGTTGAAGAGGCTCTTTTTTTCCATTGGATAGTCTTTCCTGCTTTGTCGAAGATGAGTTGACCATATAGTTATGGGTCCATTTCTGGGTTTTCTGTTCTGTTCTATTAATCTATGTGTCTGTCTTTGTGCCAGTGCTGTCTTGATGACTACAGCTTTGTAATATAGCTTGAAATCCAAGATCGTGATGTCTCCAGTTTTTTTTTTTTAATTAAGGATTTCTTTGACTATTTGAGGTATTTTGTGGTTCACAGAAATTTTAGGATTGTTCTAGCTCTGTGAAGAATGCTGGTGGTATTTTGATAGGAATTGCATTAAATGTGTAGATTGCTTTGGGTAGTATAGACATTTTAACAATGTTCTTCCAATCCATGAGCATGGAATGCTTTTCCATTTCTATGTGTCCTTTTTAATTTCTTTCATAAGTCTGTAGTTTTCAAGGAGGTTTCTTTTTTTTTAATTTTAGTTTTTTATTATTTTAATTTTTTATTTATCTTAGAGCGAGAATGCGGGCATAAGCTGGAGAGAGGGGTGGAGGGAGAGAGAGAGAGAATCTCAAGCAGCCTCCATGCTCATCGTGGAGCCTGTTACAGGTCTCGATCCCACAACCCTGGGATCATGACCTAAGTCAAAATCAAGAGTTAGACCCTCAACCTACTGAGCCAGCCAGTATGCACTCAGTGCCATAAATTTCCTTCCAAGCACTGCTTTCGTTTCATCCCACAAATTTTGGTAAATTTTGCTTTGTTTTCATTTAGTTAAAAATACTTCTAAATTTCTCTTGAGATTTTTTCTTTTGTCTTTTTTTTTTTTTAATTTATTTCTAGGAGAGAGAGAGGGAGTCACAGACTCTGAAACAGGCTCCAGGCTCTGAGCTGGCAGTCAGCACAGAGCCCGACGCGGGCCTCGAACCCACAAACCGAGATCATGACCCAAGCGAAAGTCGGACACTTAACCGACTAAGGCACCCAGGCGCCCCTCTTGAGATTTTTTCTTGACCCATGTACTATTTAGAAGTGAGTTGTTTAATCTCTACATGTTTTGGGATCTCCAGTTATCTTTTCATTAGATTTTTAGTTTAATTCAATTGAGGACTGAGAGCAGACATTGTTTGACTTTTTGTCTTTTTGAGTTTGTTAAGGTGTCTTATGATCCAGGATGTGGGCTTGAGAAAAATGTGCATTCTGCTGTTATGGGATGAAGTGGTCTGCAGATGTCAGTCATATCCAGTTGATTGATGGTGTTGTATTGCCCATCTCTTCTTGTATGCTGTCTACTTTATCCATTACAGCCCTTAGTAAATTAATCCTAGTTGTTTCAAATTCCCAGTCTGATAGTCCCAGTCTGATAGTCCCATGCCTGCCATGTGTGGTTCTGATGCTCACTCTGTCTCTTCAGTTTATGGTTTTTTCTTGCCTTTTGGTATGCCTTGTAAATTTTTGTTGTTGTTAGCTGGAAATGATGTACTGGGTAAAGTTGCTGCTGTAAAGTAGGCCTGTAAGTAATGTGATGATAAGGTGTGGGGAAGGGAAGCTGTTCTGTGCTAGGTCTCAGCCTCTTAGTGAGCCTGTGGCCCTAGACTGAATTTCACAAGAGTTTCTTGGTTGTTGTTTTTTTTTTTTTCCTTCCTCTTAGGCGGGACAGGATGGCCGGGACAGGATGGCCGGAGTGAGCTGGAGTTGATATTTTCTTTCCCCTAGGTCAGAATGACTTTGATTAGCTACAGATTAGGCTCTGGTTCACTAGTCTCCTGAGGGCAGGCCTTGTTAAGAATAGAGTGCCCTGGAGTGTTTCAGTATGGTTCCTTTTTCGTCTCCCTTCTGGAAGCCAAAGGGATTTTCAGCCTATATTCTGTGAGAACTTGGTCAGGATCCTGGAGGTCAAACTCATCAAAATGTGTCCCACCCCTGTAACTGGGTCCCCCTGGAGTTTTAAACTCTCAGATTGTCCACACTGAGCCTCTAGCAATGTCAATTATAATAGAGTTTTTCCCTTTCTGGTACTGGTTCAATGGTGGTTTCTCCTCCTGAGTTTCTGCTCCAGTAATCAGGCAGTCTTTGTATTTGACTGTCTGTCAGTCTTGGGGGCAGTGGTTTGCTTTGTGCCCCCACCTCCCTTAGGGATCCAAGAGGAGTTATTGATTTGTAGCCTGTTCAGCTTTTTACTTGTTAGGATGGAGTGGTGACTTCCAAGTTCCTAACATGTGAACTGGAAACTGAAAGTCTAATCCAGCTGCTTTTCAAACTCCAGTATTAACTTAAAATTTTTTAAAATATTTATTTAATTTTGAGAGACAGAGACAGAGCGAGCACAAGGGGGGAGGGGCAGAGAGAGAGGGAGACAGAATATGAAGCAGGCTCCAGGCTCTGAGTTGCCAGCACAGAGCCCTATGCGGGGCTCGAACCCACGAACCGTGAGAACATGACATGATCTGAAGTCAGACGGTTAACCGACTGAACCACCCAGGCGCTCCCAGTATTAACTTCTTATTTTCACATAATTTCAGACTTTCAGTTGTGATTGCAGTCTTGCAATTCTTTCATCTTTCTTATGTGCATGACTTTGACTAATTTTAATGAATATAAGCCAGTTATTTTATAGAATGTTCCTTAATTTGTGTTGTCTGATGATTCCTCATGATTAGATTCTGGTTGGCCCTCAGGTGTGCTTCGTTACCAGCTTATACTTGAATGTGGTCAGTGCCTGGATCCTGTCTTACTTGGCCCAGTCCTTCCAGTTTCCAGTTCCATGGGACAACTATTGCTTATTGATGAACTCCAGTGACTTTGGTGAGGAAGAAGTGAGAGAGGAGGAGTAGAAAGGGAAAAGAGCTGGTAGGGAATTTGGAAGAGGAGAAAGGAGTGAGGAGGGATAAAGAGGAAAACCTTAGGAAGAAGAAGAAATGGATGGGGGAAAGGGATGGAGGAAGAGGGGGAAAAGCTAAAGAAGAGGGAGGGGTCACCCTGTCTGGCAGGCATGTCCAAAGCCAGGTCCCCCCAGATCCTGAATGTGCACAGACAACACCTTCCATGTACTTCTGGTACCAGGTGACCTTGAAGGCCTCAGACAGAATTGAGGACGGTGGGCCACCAGTCTTCAGTCTGAACTTGTTCTTATTGGTGTCCTGGTGTCTTGTTGGTTATTTCATTATTAATGGGCTCAAGTTCACTGGGAAAGTAAGCCACCACTGACAGTTTTGGATGCCTTAGACTTCATCTAACATTGTTATCACTGATTTCCTAATGTCTCGCTCTTTCTGGCCTTTTGCTCCCACCAGCCCTTGACCCTTGCTGAAAATGTCTCCTCCTCACTTCTGACTCAGAACTTTCGATCCCTGCTGGGGATCGAACCCTGTTGGTTGACCCCTCATGGTACATGGTTGTTGATATGTCCCATTCTCAGTTCAGGTAATGTAAGTCTTGGTACCAGTCTCCTATTGCATCATCCTCTGTTTCCTCATCCAGAGTCTACTGCTGGAAGGGGCAGTAGTTGGGCTTTAGAATTTGATGCTTTTCAAGGTAAAATACATCTTCCTCACTCCCCTACCAGGCCTTGGCGGACACCTATTGTCTATTTTTAGGGTATCCTTCCCGTTATTACCCTTGTCCTTCCCCCTATACCTGTTAAGGTTCTCCTTTCCTTTTACATATCCCTTTATACGGGTCTTCCCCCTTTTAGATATCAGCTGTGTACAACATGGATGTATGGTGTCAAGCAGGGAACCAAGTCTTGCTTGCCTTGGGTCTAGGCTTTGGCCCTGTTGCCTCCTTATCCCTGCGCCTGTGCCCATCCAGCAACTGTCTCATTGGTGCCTTCATTGTGGTTCTGGTCAGCCTGCTCACCATGCTGCTGGTCACATCTTTCTACTTCTATGTCCTGGGCTTTTGGGCCACAGTCGTCATGCACTGCTGCAGTGAGAAGTAATGCCAGCCCCTTAGTTGAGGCTCCCAGCCCCAGGGAGCTACAAAACCCAGAGACCTGAACTTTCAAGGTGCTCCAGAGACTCCTGTCCACACCTGGCAACCGCAGGTGCACTTGCAAGTCTCTACTCTCCCGTGGAGCAGAACACAGAGACAGTAGAATCTCTGTCATATAATATCTTGCCAAGAGCCCCTCTCTGGCCCTAGACATCTTCAAACTCAGAGATTGCCAATCATCCAATTCAGAGTACCACCAAAGAGAGAGGCTAAAAGTGGCAAGCATTCAAGATTACTCTAGTCTCAGCATCTAAGAGCACACCCATCTGGAGAACTTTCCATTTGCTGAATGTTTTCACTCTTAACTTTCAACTCCTGTTTAGGGATTTCTGTCAATCTATCGCACTTAACCACCATAAAGGACTCTCAGAATGAGACTTTTTATTGTCTCCTCACCCCAGTTTTTCATTCTTTAGGCATTAGTTTCAAAAACACTCATCAGACATTTAGAAAGGACTCTTTGGGTACCACAGAGATGTGGACAGGTGAATCAGACCACAATTCTTGTTTTCACTGAGTTTTCAGTTTTTGGAGGGAGGAAGTGGGGGGAATTGTGTAATCAGATAGTTACAGACTCCTGATCACTAATAACAGGGGTGATGGGAGTATAGAAGACAGAGCCATTAGTTCTGACTGGGCTAGTCAGAGAAGGACTCCCAGAGGAAACAAACCTAAGCTGAAATTGTTCCTGGTTATCCTAACCCATGCAAATAAGCACTCTTTTCTTCTAGAATTAACCCGGGCATATTCACGTGCATATGTGCAGGAGTTCTCTGGGGTGTATACTTAGGAATGGAATTGCTAGGTAGGGCACACACACCTTTAGTCTCACCATGTATTGTTTCATTACCAAGATGGTTTAAGATGTGTAAGCATTCCACGTATTCCACTTTCTGCACATTTTTAAAAAAATTTTTTAAATGTTTTATTTATTTCTGAGAGAGAGAGTGTGAGCAGGGGAGAGTCAGAGAGAGAGGGAGATACAGAATCTGAAACAGGCTCCAGGCTCTGAGCTGGCTGTCAGCACAGAGCCTGACGCGGGGCTTGAACGCACAAACTGTGAAATCATGACCTGAGCTGAAGTCGGACGCTTAACTGACTGAGCCACCCAGGCACCCCTCTACACATTTTTTTAAAAATATTTTTATTTATTTCTAGGAGAGAGAGAGAGAAAGACAGACAGCGTGAGCAGGGGAGGGTCAGAGAGAGAGAGGAAGACACAGACTCTGAAATAGGCTCCAGGCTCTGAGCTGGCAGTCAGCACAGAGCCCGATGCGGGGCTCGAACCCACGAACCAAGAGATCATGACCCATGAACTGCAAGATCATGACCTAAGCGAAAGTCGGACGCTTAACCGACTAAGCCACCCAGGTGCCCCTCTACACATTTGATTAGACTTGGTCACACTTTAAAATTTTTGCCAGTCTAATGGGAGTGTAATGGTATTCTTTAATGTTTAAAAAACATTTTATTATGAGGTATTACATATAAATAGAAACACACGGAAAACAATATACGCAGTGTAAATAACTATAAAATAAACACCACCCATGCTAAGAACTAGAATGACCCATAGAAGCTCTCTATGAATCTCTAATTATAAACTCTTTCTTCACAATAACTATTGTGGCTTTTATGATAATTGGTTCTTTGTTTTTATTTATATTTTATTATCTATGTATGTGTATCTGAGCAACATAGCTTTAGTTCTATGCTTACATGAAGCAGTATAGTTTATTGTGTCCGTTTATATAGTTTAATATGTTTATTTACATATACATTCTCAATGTTTTGTGTTTTCCTTCTTTTGTTTCAACGTATGTTTGTAAGATTCATCCTTCTAGTCTGTGCTTTTAATGATGTATAATGTTCCAGTGTATGAATATACCACAATTTATTTGTTATACTATTGACTATTTGGAGCCTTTCCAATTTTGGGCTATTAAAACCATGCCATCCTTACACATGTTCCTGATGCACCACACACGTGCCCATCTGTGTAGGGTACGTATCTCTGAGTGAGACTGTTGATGCAGAGTTACCTATTACTGTGTGACCAATCACTCCAAAAGTAAATGGCTGAAACCAAGAATGATTTATTATGATTCTGTGGGTTGCCTGGAAAGTTCTTCTATCGGGCTTGTGGGTTAACTCACATGTGTGCATTCAGCTTGGCCCAGCTGGGACTCCACTGCTCTGCAGCAAGTGGTGTTGACGGGGCTCCCTTGCACTCTCTAGTGCTGGTGGGTCCGCAAGGCCTGCTCTCTTCCAGGAGGCCCCTCTGTGTGACTGGCTCGGGCTTCCTCACATGACCGCTCACAGAGAACACAGGTGGAATCAGCAAGCCTAAGCGTGGGAATGCTCTCATTGTCATTGCCGCTACATTTCTTTGGTCAAAGGAAGTCACAAAGCCACCCCAGATTCGAGGGGTGGAGAAATAGACTTTACCTCTTGATGGGAGGAGCTGCCAAACACTACGATCCTGTTTCTACCACATGTGTAGCTTCACCGTATAAGGCCAGGTTACCCTCCACAGTGTTATTAGGATTGTAATGATCTGTCTCTCTGTCTGTGTTTCTCTCTCTCTCTCTCTCTCTCTCTCTCTCTCTCTCTCTCACACACACACACACACACACACACACACACACACACACACACTTGCTTAGTTTCCATGCTAGAATGCATGGCAAATAGTGGCAGAATTGCTAGCTCATTCTATTGCAGAAACAAACATACTAATCCCAGAGTTCAGCATTTGTTGACAACTTTTTGTCTTTATCCTGAATTTTATAGTCAAAATGCTGTGTTCAAGAATTACTTGATTTAGTTCTTTTTCCTTCATACAGTATGATTGGCACTCACTTGAAGTACAGTTATGTTCATTTTTTGGTTTGTATGGAATTTTAATGTCCTGCCAAACTTTTACTTTATTTTAATGTTAAACATTACTGTGGTTTCAGAAGAGATTATACAAAAGGACACTCAGAGAAGTTTCACCAGCACTTCATCCCATTTCTCATCTATCCCTTGTAGGTAACCAATCTAATTATTTTTTTATATTTCCTTCCTGTGTTTGTTTGTAAAAACAAAGGGAAAGATGTATATATTTTTTATTTACCCTTTTTTCTTTTTATTTAAAAGAAAAAGGGGCGCCTGGGTGGCTTAGTCAGTTAAGTGTCCGACTTTCGCTTAGGTCATAATCTCGCGGTTCGTGGGTTGGAGCCCCGCGTCGGGCTCTGTGCTGACTGCCGGCTCAGAGCCTGGAGCCTGTTTCAATCTGTGACTCCCTCTCTCTCTGACCCTCCCCTGCTCATGCTGTCTCTCTCTCTCTCCTAGAAATAAATAAAACATTTAAAAAATAAAAAAAAATAAAAGAAAAATATTTTAAATGTTTATTCTTGAGAGAGGGTGAGGGAGAGACAGAATGCAAGTGGGGGGAGGAGCAGAGAAGGGGAGACACAGAATCTGAAGCAGGCTCCAGGCCCGAGCTGTCAGCAGAGAGCCCAACACAGGGCTTGAACTACCAACCCATGAGATCATGACCTGAGCCAAAGTCAGAGGCTTAACCGACTGAACCACCCAGCCTCCCCTTTTTACCCTTCTTTCTTATGCAGAAGTTAGTTTTTTCCTTTTTTCACTTAATAGTATATCCTGGGAATCACTCTCCCCTGTTCATTCCTTTCTTAGATCATCTAAGGCCTGGTGGTAGTGCCTGCTGTCCTGTAGATCAGTGGCTCCTCTATTCTTTAGAGTTCTCTTCACCCCTTAGTACGTAAAGCCTTGTTACACTCAATAACCTGATGCCATAAAAATTCAAACCATTTACTGGGCGCCTGGGTGGCTCAGCCAATTAAGTGTCCAACTTCGGCTCAGGTCATGATCTCACAGTTTGTGGGTTCGAGCCCCGCATCAGGCTCTGTGCTGACAGCTCAGGGCCTGGAGCCTGCTTCGGATTCTGTGTCTCCCTCTCTCTCTGCCCCTCCCCCGCTCATGCGCTGTCTCTGTCTCTCTCAAAAATAAATAAACATAAAACATTTTTAAAAAATTCAAACCATTTTCTCTTGGAAAGATACCTATGAAAATAATGAAAATGCATGTCCCAGTACTGGGGAAATTTATATGTTCCGTACATTTATATTCAGGATATGTAAAGAACTCCTAAAACTCACTAGGAGGACAACCCAACAAAAGTGTGCGCTTAACTTTCTACAGTCTGCTGTAGAAAGTTTCTACTTCAGGGGCACCTGGGGGGCTCAGTCAGTTAAGCATCTGACTTCAGCTTAGGTCATGATCTCACCGTTTGTGAGTTTGAGCCATTCATTGGGCACTACTGCTGCTAGTGCAGATCCTGCTTGGGAGTCTCTCTCCCTTTCTCTTTGCCCCTCTCCTGCTCGCACATTCACTCTCTCAAGATAGATAGATAGATAGAAAGAAAGAAGGAAAGGAAGGAAGGAAGGAAAGAAAAGGAAGGAAGGAAGGAAGAAAGAAATGTACTGTTTGCTCTTGGGCTTCATTTCTGATGAGAAATTTATAGTCTTTCAGATTGCTGTTCCTCAATATGTAGTGTGTCATTTTTCTCTGGCTCTTTCAAAATTGTTTAATGTTTAGTTTTCAATTGTTTGATTAAAAAATATTTTTTAATGTTTATTTATTTTTGGGAGAGAGAGAGAGATGGAGTGTGACCTGGGGAGGGTCAGAGAGAGAGGGAGACACAGAATCCAAAGCAGGCTCCATGCTCTGAGCTGTCAGCACAGAGTCTGACGCGGGGCTGAACTGTGAACCGCGAGATCATGACCTGAGCCAAAGTCTGATGCTTAACCGACTGAGCCACCTAGTGCCCCATGTCAGCAACTTTAAAACATTTCCCTTTGTTCTGATCATTTCTGCAGCAACCTTCTTTGCCATTCTGTTTTGTGGAAGGGTTGGGTGTAAGCTTCTGGTTTATTTTTATACTAGAAGGTGTAGCCCTTTGAAGTATGAGATTAGGGGGACATTATGGCCTGATTCTTACTTTGTGCAGGCTCTGGTACTTTATATCTGACCCCCATTCTCCTTTTATTTCTTAAGGTCATAAAATCGGAAACTAGGGGTATAGTTTACTGTATTTGACTTTTACCTTCGGGGAAAAGTTGCTTTGGAAGTCCCCTTTCCCCACTGTCTTTGTCTGCACTTCAGTTTTTGTCTAATAATTCCTCATTTTTTTCAATACTTTAATTAAGAAGATTAAAATATTTTTTAGACTTTTTAAGTTATTTACAGTGAGAGGGTTGATCCAAATATTTGACTTGCCTGTTACCAAAGGGACATACAGTATTTTGTTTTCTAAAATGTGATCAAGCTATACTTAGTACCCTGCACCTTGGATTTTGCTCTTATGAGTAAGTTTTGTCAAGCCTTCTACTGTAATCTGTATAGAGCAATGAGTTGGATTTTTAAGGATTTGTAGGAATTGGTCAAGTGAAGAATGGTAGTGGAGGTAGAGGTGGTCTTGGGCATGAAAAAGCATGGCTAGCTCTGAAATTGTAAGTAGTTAAGCATGATTAGAACATGAAATGTTCAGAGGATCATGGGAGGAAGATAAGGCTAAATAGGTGAGTAGGACTCAGATCAAAAAGTCCAAGAAGCAGTTTCTCTCACATAGCTCACTTCCAGGGCAGTGTTATGTACGTGGTAATCTTAAGTAAATGGTGCTTCCTGACATTCTGTAATGCAAAGCCTGGAAGATTGCCTTTTACCTACTAGTTTGAGAAGAGAACAAGGGAAGAGGTAGGTGGTGAATAAGAGACCAGCAGATACCCCCAGAGTTCCTGTGAAGACAATAGAAAACACTCCTCGTGGGCTTCCCACATGATCATAACTTCTCTGGGCTCTGACTTCATGATCCTGGAGGTGAGTACCTTCTAGGTTTGATCCTAGGCTCTAAGGCATCTAGATCAATAACGCTAGGTTAGTGATGCCCTTCCTTATCTAGAAGATAAGGGGAAAGGAGCCGATCTCCCAAGGAGCCAAATGGTCCTATGTGATTCAACTCCTTATCCCCAGGAATGCTGAAATGCTTGAGAAGCTGAGAGCTGTGGGGAAATTACGTTGTGAGGCCCAGCCCCCTTCCAACCTGGTTGACAGCCCAACCTCTGCCTTCCACTCCTGGACTCAGCCTTCCCCAACGCATGAAGAGCAGTGTCTTCAGCCACTTGAATGACTGCAACTTAGAGAAGCAGTTTTTGAAGGTCAGTAAAAATAGGTGAGGAGGGCCTGGAGTTACTCAAAGCCTTCTGTGAAACAGAAATTTCAGCTTTGCTAGCACCAGAAAAAAATCCCAGGAGCTCCAGGATAACCTGCAGCCCTGATGATGCAGAGAACTAGAGCTTGCTGAATGCCCTCCACGGGTAATGCCAGGTAAACTGCTTTTCCATATCAGAGGTCAGCTTGGAGATCTGATTTTCTCAATGGCCCACAGCTTTTAGGGAGTTTTCCAGGGAAGGTAGATAGTATCCTTGTCTGTATTTTTTTGTTAAGTCCAAGGACACTTTACTCTTCCCTCTCTCCCCTCAACAGGTTAAGGAGGTCCCAAGCTTTGCATTCGTGGCCTTCATTGAAACTGTGTCATTCATTCCTGGGTCTGTCTTCTGGTCCATCCTCTTCCTGTTTTTGCTGACATTGGGGCTGAGCGCCATGGTAGAGATCATGCAGGGCTCCTCACCCCACTCCAGGATACCTTTTTTTTTCTCTCAGGATACATACAGTCAGCTTACAGGACTCTGACCAATGTCCTGCTCCCACCAATGATCCTGATTTATCCAAGACTCTTACCCAGCCCAGGTCTATAACCTCTGCTTAGTCCTTGTCACCCAGCCATACCTCTGACCTTCATCCCCATCCAATGTCTTCTCCAGTGGTTGTCTTTGGGCTCATGTTCCTGTGTGGCTTCTTCACTCGACCTTCAGGGATCTACTCATCAGCCTGCTGAATGAATACTGCACAGTCCTCCCATCATCACCATCATCATATTTGAAAACATGGTTGTGGGCTGGGCCTATGGGGGCAGGAGGTGATAGTGTGGGTCTATAGGGAAGATTGACCCCTTTCTTGTTGCCTCTGCTGTCACCTAGCTAGAGTGATATAGGGACCCTTAACCTCAGGGCCTTTGGAGAAACCTGTTTATTCATTAATTTAACATATTTCTTGAGTGCTTAATATGTGCCAAGCACTGTTTTACTCACCAGGGTTATTGAATAAAATAGGCATCCCTCTTCTCAAGGAATTTACATTCTAGTAGTGGTGACTGCTGTAACCACATGAACGAATAAAAATGTCAGGTGGTGACAGTTGACAGGAGAAAATCAAGAGGTAAAGTAAAAGGATCAAGAATGGGAGTATGTGTGGGTGCTAATTTAGGTCAGATTGCAGGGAAGGCCTCTCCGATAAGGTGACATTTGAGCAGACTCCTGAAGGAAATGAAGGAAGGAGCCATGGTTTTGAGGAGGTATTCCAAGCAGAGGAAATACTGAGTGCCAAGGCAAGAGGAAGCATCATTCCTGGAATTTTTGAGGAACAAGATCAGAGAGCTTGGAGTAGAATGTTAGGAGATGAAGCCAGAGAGATAACAGGCAATCATGAAAGACCTTCTAAGCTATAGCAGTACTTAGTTTTTTATGCAGCCCAAGAGAGGAGGCTTTGGAAGGTTTGGAGTGGGGGAGTGACATTGTCAGATTTATTTAAAAAAATACCTGTGACTCCTGTGTGGAGAATAGACTATGAGGAGTCAGGAGTGAAGCAAGGAGAACATTGGGTGCTAATGTAGTATTCCAAGTGAGAGCTAATAGCTTCGGCTAGCGTGGTAGAGGTGTATGTTGAGAGATGTCATCTAACTCTTCAAGGAACAGCCACCAGGGAAGAGGGAAGAATATAATCAGGGAATGGGACTTAGTAGACATAACTGTGCAAGGAAGAGTGGGAAAATCAAACACAAAGGACTCCCGAACCTGCCTTTTTACCAGGCTAGTGTGCGGACATCCAAGTGACATATTCAGAGGTTGAAGGTTCAGGTGGCAGCATTTTCAGGTGACAGTGGTTCCCTCATTCAAAAAGAGTGGTTAACTCATTCAAAAAATTTCTTGAGGCTGTTTCTGTGTCAGGAAAGCCTGTAGTTACTGGGATACATATAAATTAGAATGAGCTCCTCTTCTTAAAAAGCACAGAGGCCAAAGAGGAAGACATATATAAGCAGATGATCCCAATACAAGATGGCAAGTCTATAGTAGAGGTAGCCAGGGCCACTCAGGGGAACCTGGAGAATCCTGGGGGCGGGGGGGGGAATCCTGAAGGAGAAGATGGCTAAGCATAGTCTGGACAGATAGTCTGGTGGACAAAGAGAAGGGCCTTCGTGTCCAAAAGACCCCACTTGGATATTTATTACAATTGAGAACTTGCAATAAAGGAGGTTAGATACATGGGCTGGAAGAAACTAAGAAAATTTCCCCCTGAGAGTCAAGTGTTGCCTTCTTTTTCAGTCTGAGTTGGTTAGTTTTGAAACCCAGCATGTAGAAGAGTCCTTCACACATCATAAACATTTTTATATTCATAGAACAAATGACAGGGACTTGGCCTTTATCCTGAGGGCATTAGGTACCTATGAACCATTTTCAGCAGTAGAGGGATGTTTGAAAATTTTTTCTTGGGTTGAGCTGCAAAACTGACTAGGGAGAAGATAAGAGAGGATGAGTCTAGAGCTGAGGCAGAGTTTGGGAGGTGAAGTAGAATACTTGAAAGATGCTAAGGTTGGGCTGCCCTCCACCCCCAAGGCTGGATGGGGCCTGACTAGGCCTCCCACAGTCTTGTGGCCCTTCCTCCCAGGTTCCTCGAAGACTTGGTGATCATGTGCGGACCCCTCGCCTCTCCCATCCCGTTGGCTGTGGTGCTTTCTAGCCCTGTTTGTGATTACTCTGATTCATCTGTCTCTGAAGACCATCACCTGTGTGGCCTGGGTCTCAGTGTAACCTTCCCGCCTCAGACACTAGACCTGCCTAGGGAGTGGGGGCCAGATCTTTCAGTCTACTCGTGGCCTAAAGACCCTATCGGCTCATTCTCTGACTCCCTGAAGACTCATTAGTCCTCTGCCTGGTTCCCCTCCCACCCTTCCCTTCTACAGTCCTCACTTTTCTGGGGACTTTGATGTTCTGAGCCCCTTTCCCATCTTTCCACAATTGAAAGAGGTGCTTCACCAATTCCCATCATGGGGGCTGCTTGCGACGATTGCCCTTTTCATCTCTGTTGTCCTCCCCATCCCCACATATTTTGTATACCGCCTCACCCACAGGATGCTTCAGTTCCACAAGCCAGGGCAAGCCTATGATATCTTCCAAATCCTTACCCTTAATCCAGCCACCACCCATTAAAGAGGTCCAAAAGGAGAGCATCCTGTGAGGTGGTAATCAAGTTACTAATCAACCTGTTGTATGATTGCCTAACTTTATTCTTTTGACTTGACATCACACATTCCTGGAAGCAGCATAAGAGGCAACTCATACTAACTTGTAACTGTTGCTGTCCCCAGACCCAGAACTGCTATTATTCCTAAGAGTAGAGGCATAATTTGGTGGACTCATGGGGCCTGGCTTTGCATCCCCCTCCCAAGCCCATCCTTCCTGGTTACCACTGCCGTTGGGTTTTCCCAGTCACCTTCCTCAGTATATCCACATGCCCGTCATATTCACTGTCGGTAATGTCTACCAAATCTGCTTCTTGACTGGCTGCCCAGCTCCAGGAAGGGAGCTGGAGGAGTAATGATGTTGGTCAGTACGTCAGTCCACCAGGACTCCAAGTACTGGGTGTCAGAAATTTTTTTTTCTGTAAATGCCTTTTCCCCAAAAGTCTTCCATTCTTTTGAGAGCCAAATGTCCAGCCCAGAATTCCTGCCCTCTCCTTGCTGTGGCAAATTCAGATCTAGATTACTAGACTTGCTCTACTAGGGACTGGCCTTTGGCCAAGACACGCGGGAAATGGGGCTTCAGCAAAGACGTAAAGGACATTAATCACTTGCCAGTGGGACATGGTAATCATATGTGAGTCTAAAAGTTATTTTTATTTTTTTAAGTTTATCATTTTGAGAGAGAGTGAGAGAGAGAGGGATAGAGAAGACCCCAAGCAGCACAGAGCTCTATCAGCACAGAGCGAATCAAGGTAAGTAGTTTAGGGAACTAGGTATTGCTGAGCCCACTAGGGCCCCATATCTGCATGCTAGGAGACGTGGCAGGTTTGATGACAGGGCTGAGTCAGATGAATTTGCCTAGTAGTGATGACTGAGTGAATCTCTCAGAACTTCTGGAGGGGTGACTCCACAACTGAGCTGAGGAACTTCCCAAAAGGAGATGGGGGTCAGTCAGCGTCTGGGGTTGGGAGCTGTGGGTAGAGGTGATTGGGGTTCCCAAAGATCCAGGGCATGCGTTTCCCTTAAGTACTCAGAGATCGCAGTATTTCTAATCGCTCAGCCACCACAGGGCAGCCGCTTCTACCTAACTCCGTGATTAAGGAAGAAAACGCAGACATCCTAACATTGGAGGGTGGGGCTGGTCAATAGGAACAGCTGTGGTCCGCCAAGCCCCGGGGCCTCCCGGTGTTTCTAGGTGTTTCTCGCGGGTCAAGCTTGGAAGATAGGAGGGCTGAAGGAACTCGAACCTAAGGGTCATCACCCATTGGCTCCTGTACCTTGTAGCCCCGCCCCTCACCCGCTTTCACCACCACCCCAACCCCCATCCAAACGATCTGTCTGCTGGAAGCCTGGTGCTATAGAGTCGGGTAAGGTGAAACTCAGGGGGAAGAGGCCGTCGCCTTCTCATGACCAAATAGTTTTAAGCCCCCTTCCTTTTGGGAACGCAGGTGTTCATCCTCCTTTCTGCCTCCCCGTCCAGTTTCCAGCTTTGGGATTGGAACCTGCTTGGGGGAGTGGATTGAAAAGTCGGGGCCTACTGGATAAACCGAAGGGAGTGGAATGAAGGTTTTGGTGTGTCTCCTCCCACTCTCAATTTTCATCTTCTCTGGCTGCTTGTCGAATGTCTTTTGGCACCTAACTGCAAGGCTGTTTGAATTGCGACTATCTCACACTGCTGTAGGGGCTACTAAGTAGAGACACAAAGACTGACTCCTATCGTAGGCTTGTCTCTACTAGAAAGCTCTGGGGGGTCCTACTGTCGAAAGTCGGGTTTTGTAGCACCCTTGCGTGTGATGAGCAGCGTTTCTTTAGCACTGCTCTTGGGACTCTCTGGCCTCGTTAGACAAAATGGAGACCCGTCCCTTGGTACGGGACCTTACACGAGAGTGGTATGAGATACAGCTGTTGTCATCCTTAATTTTCATCAGGAGACCCAGAAGAAAGAGGGGTTCACATAGCGAGTCAGGGGTAGCCTGATACAGAGTCTTGCTGTGGCTTCTGTCCCTTTTATTTCAGAAGGGTGCCAACATATGTAAAAGAATAACTTAATGAATTCCTTTGTACTCATCACCCATCTTGTGACCGACTGGCGACCGACCAGTCTGGTTTCAGCTTAACTCCTCTCACTGAAGGCCTCCCCATTATTTTGAAGCAAATGCCAAATTTATCATTTCATCTGTAGGTATGTCCCTACATATGTCTAAAACATAAGAACCCTTTAAAAACAAAGCCTGACAAGGGGCACCTGGTCAGTTGAGCGTCCCACTTCAGCTCAGGTCCTGATCTCCTGGTGTGTGAGGTCGAGCCCCACGTGGGGGCTCTCAGCTGTCTGTGGGGATCCTGATTCGGAACCTCTCTCTGCCCTTCCCCTACTAACTCTCTGTCAAAAATAAACATTTAAAAAACCCACAAACACCTGACAAAACTGTTATCACAACTAAAATAAATAACAGAACTTTTTAATATCATCAAATATCCAGTCAGTAGTAAGATTTTCCTGGTTGTGGCTCTCTGTCCCCCCCTCCCCCGCAGCTTTATTTTATTTATTTTTTTAAGTAATCTCTACAGCCAGGGTGGAGCTCACCTTATGACTGGGAGGTGAAGAGTCACATGCTCCTACTGACTGAGCCAGCCAGATGCCCCTTAACAGCTTTGTTGAGATATAAGTCACATACCATACAATTCACCCATTTAAAATATATTCAGTGGCTTGTAAAGTATGGCAGGCCTGTGCACCCATCACCACAGTCAATCTTAGTACATTTTCACTACCCTCAAAAGAAACCACACTCTCTTGCTGTCACCCCAAGTGCTCCAGCCTTCAACCTCAACCTTAGACGACCACTAATCTACTTTTGTTCAACAGAGTTGCTTATTCTGGACCTTTCCTATAAATGAGATCATACAATATGTGTAGTCCTTTGTGACTGGCTTCTTTCATATAGCATAATGTTTTCAAGCTCCATCCATGTGTAGCATATATCAGTATTTTATTTTTATTGCTGAATATTCCATTGTACGGTTATACTACATTTTATTTATCCAGTTGATGGACATTTTGAGGTTGTTTCCACTTTGGGGCTATTGTGAATAATGCTGTGATGAATATTCATGTAAAAGTCTTTTGGGTGAACATACATTTTTCTTTCTCTTGGCATATACTTAGGAGTGGAATTACTTGATCATATTGCAACTCTATGTTTAACTATTTGAGAGACTGTCTCAGAACTTTTTTAGATTGTTTGAATCATCACCCAAGTAAAATTTGTATGTTGTAATTTGTTGCTGTATCCATTAAGAATCTTTTGAGGCACCTGGGTGGCTCAGTTGGTTAAGAACTTGACTCTTGATTTTGGCTCAGGTCATAATCTCACCGCTCGTGGACTGAGCCCCATGTCAGGCGGCACACTGCACACACACAGCCTGTTTGGGATTCTTTCCCACTCTCTCTCTGCCCCTCCCCGCTCAATAAATAAACTTATTTTAGAAGAATCTTTTAATCTATAGATCTCCTGCCCTATTCCCTACCCGCCCCCAATATATTTACTGATGAAACTGGGTTATTTGTCCTGTAATTCCTACCTATCTGGAATTTGCTACTTCCTCCCTGTGGTATCATTTAATATGTTCTCCATTCCCTGGATTTCTTATAAATTGGTAGTTAGGGCAAGAGGTTGATTAGTTTTAGGGTCAATATTCTGTCAAGAATACATTGTGAAGGGTTTTATGTGCTTCTCTCAGGAGACAAAAACTGTTCTCTCTCTGTCATGTGAGCAGCCATGATGATCATTGTCTAGATACACATATTCATTAGAGATTATGAAATGGTGGTATTCTAGCTTTATCATTTCTCCTTTTTTTTTATTAGCTGGAATACTTCTAGAAAGAGAAACTTCCTCTTAACAAACATTTGTTGCCCTGATACACAGTTTGTATGAGAAAAGAAGAATAAACTTTGATTCTTTCCCCTCATTTGCCAGCTTAAAAATGAATTTATTGCCTAATATTCTGCAAAAATGATCATTGAGTTTTTTCTTTGTAGCATCTCTCTGCACTCAATGTATTTGATGTGTTTCCATCCATTGCAGCTATTTTTTTTAAATTTTAAATGCTTCTTTATTTTTGAGAAAGAGAGAGAGAGAAAGAGAGAGACAGACAGAACGTGAGCAGGGGAGAGGCAGAGACAGAGACACAAAATCTGAAGCAGGCTCCAGGATCTGAGCTGTCAGCACAGAGCTCGACATGGGACTCAAACCCGTGAACCATGAGATCATGACCTGAGCTGAAGTCGGACACCTAACTGACTGAGCCACCCAGGTGGTCCTGTACCTATTCTTACTGATGCTCAAGTCATCTCAGTTTTGGCACATGGGGGGCATCTTCAGTCTGACTCCTAAATCCTTTTGACAAGACCACAGTAGTTTATAATAATTTCTTTGCTTTTTGGTATCACCTTATGGTCTGGGATTAATTTGTACATTTCATACCCAGATCTGAAATCGCCTATTTTTCTAAGGATACCTAGTTCCTTTTGATGGGAAGTGGTATTTAGAGATCACAATTTTCTACTAGGGGTGTTCATTGCTACTGCATTGGTCATTGTTTTTAGGCATTTTCAATAGATGCAGCTAGGAAATAGTCTCCTAAGATGAAATACATCATAAAATCATACTCATTTTTTCAATTCAAATTCAGAATTGTAGCATTTTTACTTAGCTTCTCAGATTTTACATTTACATATTTTCCTGTCATGTGGTCTGATCCTCTTGACATTTGTTTCTCAGCTAGAAGTTGGTGCCCACAAGCTCTCACCTTCATTGTTTCCCAAATTGAACTCATCATTTTCTCTATCAATTTTCCCATCCCCAAACCTACAAATCCACCCGTGTTCCCACCTAGGGAATAGGGCAGGTAGACCTAGAGCCTAGGCAGGCAAACTGAGGCAAAACCTGTTTTAGGACCCTGTAGACCTCTAATATGGAAATGGCCATGTGTCCTGTCGCAGGTGTAGGTGTCCATGGCAGCAAGACTAATCTCAGACCCACTGACTGATAGAATGTTGTTGCAGTCTCTGTCTTGAGCAGATTCTTGGCCTGGTGAGAATATAGCATTTGGAGACAAAGAAATCTGTGTTTATTTATTATATCAAACCCTCAGGTGGTTCTATGACCCTTAGTAAGTCACTTTCTCTCCTTAGCCTTAGCTTTCTTATCTGTCAAGTGGAGATGAGGAATTAAAGTAATCTCAACACCTGATGTGGGGCTCGAACTCACAATCCTGAGTTCAAGAGTCATAGCCCTCCTGACTGAATGTCATTTAAATGGAAACATGCTTTCTGTAGCCTTTGGAGTCTGTTTCTTTCATTTTGCATAATATGTATGAAATTCATGGATGTTGTTCATTGTATCAATATTTTCTGTTCCTTTTTACTGCTAATATTGCATTTCCCAAGTGTACCCAGTTCATCTGTTATTCAGTAGTTGAAAAACGTGGATTTTTCCAGTTTGAACAGTTATGAATAAAGTAGCTATAAACATTGGCATACAGGTTTTTGTGAACAAAACTTCTTGGGAAAATACCTAGGAGTGGTAGGTTATATGGGAAGTGTATGTTTAGCATTTTTTAAAAATTTTTATTTATTTCTGGGAGAGAGAGAGAGACAGCATGAGCAGGGGAGGGTCAGAGAGAGAGGGAGACGCAGACTCTGAAACAGGCTCCAGGCTCTGAGCTGGCAGTCAGCACAGAGCCCGACGTGGGGCTCGAACCCACGAACCACGAGATCATGACCTAAGCGAAAGTCAGTCGCTTAACCGACTAAGCCACCCAGGCGCCCCATAGCATTTTTAAGAAACTGTGACCCTTTATGGCTATACCATTTTGAATTCCATTTTTTCCAATTTTCTTTTTGTGGTAAAATACACATATAAACTTAAACCATCGTAGCCAGTTTTAAGTATACAGCTTAGTGGTATTAAGTACATTAATACCATGTACATAAATACATTAGTTTTTACTACCACCTGCTTCCATACTTCCTTCCTCTTGTACAGCTGAAACTGTGTATAATTGTCTCCATGATTTTGATTCTCCTAAGTACCTTATAGAAGTAGAATCATACAGTCTTTGTCTTTTTGTGCCTGGCTTAAGTCACTTAGTATAATATCCTCAAGTTTCATCCATGTTGTAGCGTATGTCAGAATTTTCTTAACTTTTTAAGACTGAAGAGTATCCCACTGCATCGATAAACTACATTTTGCTTGTCCATTTATCCCTCAATGGACATTTGGACGGCTTAACGTGTTGTAGCTATTGTGAGTAATACTGCTGTGAACATGAGCGTCCAAAAACATTACCGAGACCCTGCTTC